CTTATATGGTCGCACTTTCTTGAAAACATCTTCTCCAGAAATATGAAAATATCGAATGTGAGGTAAACATCCCTGTAGCGTTTCCTTCAAAATCCGAAAATCCTCATTGGACCATTGTTTAATTTCTGGAGGTAATGTTGTGTTTTGAAGTAATCCCCATTTTATAACATAGTCCCAAATTTTTGATTCTTCCAAGTTTAAATCTTCTCTCTGAATAAGGGGTACTAAAATAGATTCGGGTATGGATGCAAAATTGTTAGATTCAAAAAGAACGCCAGGTCTTGTTGTAATAAGGTCATTGCAAAATTTTTGTTGATTTGGGAAGCTAGTTGACTGAGTGGAAACCTGATATACATTGAACGAATTTGATTCTAACCATGCGATTTGATTTTTAATCATGAATAATTCGAGGTATTGTAACAATTCAGTGAGACCATATTTATTGGCGGTAATTAAAATATCAAAGATGGTAGATGGTTCGATATTTTTCAAGTTAACGGCTCCACTATAGATGTATCTGTTTCGAAACGTAAAAATTAATGCTTATACAAAATAAAGCTAAAATCAATTTATGTCTTACTTTATGATGACTTCAAAGACAGTTGCCGAAATTTGAGTATTCGTAATAACTCGGATATTTTTTTCATTAAAGTTAACCTTTTTTACTTCATCATAAAGTATGGGGCAACGATGGCATAATATAATGCTGTGGACTTTGAATGATTGTGCGGCAGGTGCTTCTCCTGCTTCGATGATAACATTGTATTCTTCATTTGCTTCAAGAAGCTTGATAAGATCTTGAGATAGTCTTTTAAAAAATTCTGCCTTCATGAGTTACAAACGGAAACACGTATGTGGAAAACTTTGCTTTATATACATATGTATGTGTAACACAGATTTCTACATTTACTGTAGTTCGAAATCAAAAACGTATAACTTAATTCTTTATATTGTACTATTTTTTTAGTATACTTAAGCTAAAACAATAATTATAATTTATTGTTATTCATAAAATTTTTTTGAAAATCAACCTTAAAAAAAGAATTTATGGCAAGAAGACATGAATTAATATTATCTAACATATGTATATTACAATTTCTAAAAGAATCAAAGATAACACAGTTCTTAAAATAAAATTACAATCATAAAAAAATATATATATTATTAAAGTTAATAATTTATAATTTTCAAATACCAACTTAAAAAAATAAAATATAATTTTTACATATAGAATTTTGGACAAAATATTTATATATAATTTATATATGATTAATTAAATTTATAAATGTTTTTATATACTGTATAGCAAAAAAAAATTTTATTTATTATTATTTATTCTTTTAACTATTATTATACTGTATATAAAATCATAAACTTTTTAAAAAAAAATTATTAAATTTTTATTATATTAAGTGTATTATGAAAATAATTAGCAAAATAGTTTAAGATAAAAAATATTTATAGAACAAGTTATTAAAAATATTTAATAATCATATTATTATTTTTTTTTTTTTTTTAGATAAAGAGCGCTAGCAGCACATGATCTTTATTGAGTGATTTATATCCAATTACATGACTACAAGATCCATTTAAGTTAACCCATACTCCCACCTATAGCCTTATCCAGTTATACCAATTAACCACTGCGGGGGTGGATCTGCACACCAGGTGAGATCTTTAGGAGATAGAAATATTACCACCAGTTTATAAACTATCTAACCTAATCTAGATCCTGGCGGTTGTCGTTTGGAGCGTATACCTTTCAGGATTGATTAAAACACCAGGATAATCCGTTCAATACTTTTCGCCTGGTTCCTCGAAGAAGGTACTATACTTTTTGTCACCATCTGTGGCTTCAGATTTCCCTTTTCATCAGATCCTCTTCTTTTAAGCAAATGCCAGATTGGGATAACCCCAGGCTAGAGTGTTCTTTGTGCTATAGAGTCTGCTGTGCCAGGGGGATTTGTGGGTTTTTATCAGAATTAGACCAGAAGCCTTTCCTTGTGCAACCTTCCGTACTTTGACCTATTTTCAGCCGCAATCATTGGAAAGACCAGAGGTCCTATTTTCATGCAGCTTAACTAAATTTGGTCAGGATCCGGATGTTTGGAGTATGACATTTGTAGAAAAACTGGTAAATCCACAAATGAAGATAATCACATTATTTTTACTAGATATTAATTCTAAAAAAATGTAAAAAAATTAAATATTAATTTTTTTAATACTATAAATAAGTTTAGTCAAAAAATTTTTATATTAATTTGTAATTAATTAATTATTATATTGTTACAGGCTATCCGTCCAGCCCGCACTCCTGGTCGTCGCTTCGGTTCACAACACAATAAGGTAAGTTTCTTTAACTCTTGAGGCGTGTTTTCGATTTGGCCGTTCTCTCACTTTAACTTCTCTACCGACTAGCCTAGAACCCTCTCTA